AGAGACTCTCATTCAAATGTTCATTCCATTACATGTAACTCTTCAATACCAGAAACTTGGTTTGTGGAGGTTCTTTATTGTTGTTTGCAAGGATTTTTTTAAAGTTTGGGGTGCTTTTTGTTGGGGAGGCTTTGGGGGTTGTGTTTTAACTTGGTTGTACAAAGACGTCTACAAAACTGTTGAGAAAAAAAAACCTGTTGCCATCAAACTCCTCAAGAAAACCAAACTGAACTTTTATTTAAGCTATGTTAACTGTCCTTGAGAATAAAAAATGCCCATTCTTTTGCTTAAGATCACACTCCAAGTTTACAGACAGAGCTAAGACTGACCTTTTCCATATTCAGACTGGCCTGGTCAAGCATGTCTCCTGGTTTACAGATGCTGCTACATAGGGATTACAAACCTTGTCTGCACAAAGGCAATCAGGGTAGAATTGGCAACTCCTGACTACCAAAATTAGTTGGGAGCAGGAAGTTAACATTGCCACTAACAATAGTTAGTACCATCTAACAATACAGTTAGAAGGCATTACCCATTACCATCTCGGAGTCCTGAAGTACTATACTAAGTGCTCACACCACTGACATGAAGACCCCTTGGCTTTGATCTCTCCTTTCATAGACACTAAAACTTCTGCTTGTATATCAGACTTACTTTTCTAAAACACTAAAACAAGACACTGCCTCTCAGTAAAGAACCTATGTGATATAAAGCTCTGTACCCTACTGCCCAGTGAAACTACGTTTTTAAAATGTTTCTTACTCAACTGTGTTATGTGCTTTAAGGAGAAATTTACAATTTTGATACTCAAAAGAAAAATCACCTTCACAGGCTAAGCACCTTTGAGTTACTACTCTTAGTATTTTCTTAAATGGAACATTACAAAGCTCTGCACAAAACTAGTTGGCATCAAACATAGCAACACCTTCACAAAAGCTTGAGAATATGGTTCTGTGTAAGTCCTTCACCCTCAGAAAACTGTCACTAAGTAGTTTATACCAAGCTTCTGTGTCTAGCTTAAATTACCTTCCAAAGACTTTCTAAAAAAAGGGGTTGTCTTAAAAAAACAGACACAGAAGTACACAGTTTCTAATGCTAATACTTAGCTATTTTTAATATAGCTAGTGATTTCCAAACATATTTTTGAGCTCTGAAAGCGCTACATACTTTCAATATATATCAGCTCTTAAATGCATCTTTCAACAAACAAGAATGAGATTTACCAAGCACACAAATGTGATCATGATCCCCTGCTTTGCTTAACCACCACTAGGCAGTGAAAGTGCAAAGACACGATAAAAGTTGTCAAGGAGAACCTAAGCTATTCAGAACTGAACAGGACTGTTTCCAGCATGATACAGAGCAAACAAAATACTCACATCAGCAAGAATTTACTTTCTGACCTGAGCTTGATAAGCTAAACTTTCTGAGACTAAGCAAAACACACAGGCACTCTAATTTAGACAACCAAGCATAAGTCTGTTTATATTCATGATAAAGCATATATGTATTTTAGTATGTATTTTAACATTGTTGTTACTGACAAACAATAAAGACTAATGATTGCCTTTCTCCCATGCCCCCATTTTGTAACAGAGTAGACATATGCAAAGAGTTGCAAACATTAGATTTGTGTAAAATAGTACTGGAACAAAATATGCAGCAATGCTTGCCCAAAACACTCTCCGCCTCGAACCATAACTTACAGGCTTACAGAAACCTAGGTAGTTTTCTTGCTTTTATTCTTTAGAAGTTCAGTCAAATGTGGGGTTTTTAACCCGTCTATAAAAAACTTACATATCCCAGCACTACCAGGAGTTCCAAGCTTACTTCATTCTTGATGAAAAAACAAAAATAGGAAACCACTTCAAACTTTTCACCTTCCAGTTTCACTTCAATTTTAACACCCACCTCTTTAACATAATCTCACTCTATTTCAGACTAAGAGCTCTATCTACTCAGGGACGCTGCATACCAAAACTATTTCATACTTTTCATACGTGTAAAATAATGGGAAAGGACAAGAGTTAAAAAAAAAAAAAAAAGTACAGTATGTATACTGGAAGCACATAAGGGATTTTTACACTGAAAGCATTGTTTTCCTTCTATGAATTAAGAATTTGTAACCAAAGCTTAGATTTGCCTTTTTAACTAACAGCATGAATCTCTAAAAATATTCAAAGACCACCTCAAGTTCTGCTACTACACAGGAATAATAGGTTCAGTTCAGAACATGTGATTTTGTATGCAACACTGATTGTCCTGCCTTCATTCTTTCTTGGTATTTCTACCTGCATATTTATGTTATGCAAATGAGGGCAGAGAGTAATAAATTTACTGCTAATAGCTTTGTCTAACTGATCCACAAATTACCTCTGGGTGACAGTTTGAGAGCCTACTGACTTCCTCCAACTTGCTGTAAAACTCAATGCAACCAAGTTCCCTTCACTTAGTGTCTTATTAACTCTAATGTATGTAGGCACATGACCTAAGACCATTGAAACCACCCTTTCAGGTGTAGGGCCTGGTTTCCACATGAAACCCAGAATGATTTGCTGGGTCACTGCATCCATGACATCCACCTGTAGAGGACAATGGCTCACTTTAATTTACCCCTCTTTGACTGCTCACTAACCTACTTTTTGTTTACAGTTTCTTGTGCATGGACAAGCCTCAGCCAAGAGCAGAGGCACCACATGGGAGCTCAGACTGAATCATCTCTTGAAGGCAAGTGTTGACCAAAAAGGAAAGCCCTCTCACATGCTTTTTGAGGGAGTAACAGGGACAGCAGAACAAGGGAACAGAACAGTAGCTGGGACAAACCTAACAGCTCATCAGTTAAGAGATGACAGACAAATCTTGTTTCCAATATGGAAGTCTGAGATTTCAAAGTACTAGTTGCACAAGGAAGGACAAAAGTGATGCGATCACTATATGCTGTTGTTCCCCCATGTTAGTCTCATACAGCAAAAATCTGTCTCCTTGTTTGGAGACAACTAACTCTGTTTTTCAGCACCCCCGACAAACAGAAAAATGTAATTTTTTTTTTTAGTCATTACAATCAACATAAGTTCTTTTTCTCTCTTTACATTTAAGAACCATTTTTATACCCATGCAGAAGTTCAACTGAAGACTCACACCTACTCCCCAGCTGAATTTTGACCCCACAGTTTCATGCTGAAAGCCATGTAGTATGTTTCACAAAGCACCTGAAGATGTGAAATTTTGTTTAAAGACTCATCCACTGAAAACTTAGACAAGTATCTTTTCATACAGTAGTAGAATAATAAAAATAAACACCAGTTTTACTGAGTTGAAGGGGGGAAAAAAAAAAAAAAATCAGGACATCTTACCCCTGTGACAATGTAATATGCAACAAAATGTGTATTTCCCTCTTCTTGTGTTATCAGTTATCATTTTATCTTCTTTTAAACTCTAAAGAGTTAGTTTCTGGCAATTACTTCTGTTAACTCACCACACTAAAATTTGTGCTGCTGACAAGACAAAGACAATTTCTTATCTTGGGGGAGGCAGCATCTCTTCCATTTCAATTATTAATGTGGCTCTACTACAAATCAGAACTTTGAAACGTCAGTGATATTTAGGTCTCACAGACATGCTGTTTAGAAATTATTTTTTTCCACATTTCATGGAAATCCTCCTTTCTTTACTCTGCCTTTTTCCAAAATGAAGTTGACAGTCATATAGGAAGCAACTATTACAAGTCTTGACAAGTACCTCATGTATATCCCAGAGCAGAGATAAAAGTTATACCATCCTAGTGGATACCCTGACTCTACAGAGCTACTTACAGGCAAGGAAAGTCCATCCAGTAATCAGTGTCTAGAACAGCTTAGAGTAAGTAAGTCTTGTAAGCACAACTATGGGCATTAGTAATACAAAAAAAAAAAGCTGCATATGAAGCACAATCTTCTACTTTAATCTCTCAAAGTACAAACTCCAATTTGTCTGTTTACTACATGCATGCAGTTCTGCTCGTTACAGGATTATCTGCCATTCTGCCTATCATCATGACTTCCTCTTCTACTACCAACAGCCAGTCAAAATACAAACTGCTCCTGGCACCTTTGACCAGTTGCTGTGCACGATCTGGAGCTGGACCTGGTCCTCCTCCAAATCAACATACAGCCTTTTCCTGTGGCTGCTGAGGAATACCATGCACACTACTGGAATATCCATAGGGGAACAAATGCTAGAAGAGCAAATGAGCACAGATGACAGCAAGGAAAATCTACACTCGTGTATTTAAAAATAACACACAGAGAAAGTTGAGAGGGTATCTGGGTCTTCTGTAGGAAAAAGAATGGCAAAGAGCTTCTCTAAAGCTAAGATTTCAGGGAGCTCAAGCAACTCCAACGCCAGAAATCATTCTGAACATACTTTAACATTTCCAATAGTTTTCAAACATGGTTGTTTATAACAGTGACAAAATTTCAGTGCGTCAGATGCTCTATTTTTGTTACCTCGTTATCTTACTGCAATTGAAACAGCAGTAAACATTTCAAGGTATGAAAGGCTTAATAATCAGAAACCTATGTAGAATGAGTCTCGTAACAGTCCTCCATATTTTTACATGGAAATATCCAGTTTTTATCTGCTTTTATTCTAAATCTGAACTGTTTTCCTTGCTATTCCAGGTCCAGTTTTGAAGGCAGATTTCAAATAGTTTTCTTAATTGAGATGTGCACGCATTTTAGGAACATAAATAGAAGCAAATCAAAACTGAACATGAGCCACATTTTGTAAAAAAGAAGGAAAGAATACACAATAATTTATGCATTCTTCTATACATTAATAAAACAAGTTTCCAGAAATTAGAATAAAATCCTAGCATCCTGACAGGGCTCAAAGTTTAAAATTCATTACAAGAAATCGATTCTAGGAGAAGCACAAAAAAGATGCAGTAGTGATAGCAAACTCATAGGCCCAGGTTAAGAAACAGGTCTTACAACCAAGTATAAGAGGTCAGTCAGACTCACCTTCCTTCATTGATTTTTCCTTTGTCTCCTTGACAAGAGAAGTTCTCGATGTAGCCTAGACTGCAATTGATCCGTGTCCAGTCGGGCTGGCACACAGCGAGGAAGTGAGGACGCAGTCTACCTATGGAGTACTTGGCAATGTCTGTCAATGACTGGCTAGCAGCTGCTCCAAAAATGAAGGTCCCAATGGCTTTGTAAATAGTGGCTATGTAGTTATTTCTGACAAACGAATTTGAGTGCAAGTGATTATAAAGGACAGAGAGAGTCTCTCCTAGGATTATCTGAAAGAGAAATAAGGACAACAGTTAAAGAAAGATACTTGCTTAAAAAGAAAGATCACACTCCACTGTTAATACACATACATGTAATTTCACAAATTTTATAAACATTAACCTGTAAATTTAAAAGTTTTCCAAGAGTCAGCAGTAACCATATCCAAACTTTAAACACTTATGTAGAAGGAAAATAAACTTTTACCTTATCCTGATTACCCTGCTTCATGTTCAACTTAGTATTATTGACTTCCAGAGTCTTTATTAAAATGAAGCCTTCTTTGAGCAACATTTATCCATATTACTTGGCATGGCCCTAACTAGAAACATTTTCTCCAGTATTACCTTTTATTCTACATTGAGTCCTCTTCAGCTAAACATCCACTGCACAAAATTTTGCTATTTTGCCATAAAGTTGTTAGACTTTTGTGAAGCCAGAGGCTATTCTGAATGGTCTAGACTTTGTTTCTGGATGTGAAAGGCCAGCTATTTACATGCAGAAATTTCCTGTTCCTCAGGAAAATTAAATCCTTATGGGAAAAAAGAAAACTAATGAGAGTAGGGGAAGACAGGCATTACTGAGGTCTTTCCAAGGATTTTTTACGCTGCATGTCTAAGGTATATGCATCAAGTGTGTATCAAGTGTTGATAGGAAAGCAGATTTAAATTTTGCTTCCCTGCAACTCTTTTGCAGAAAGTAAGTTTTTCCTTAAACCAAATACAGAACTTCACCCTAGACAGGATGGATATCGTCTCATCTTGTACAGAAAGGTTTGACTCATACAGATGATCAGATGGGTGGAGGACTGCATGCATGTATGTAAAGTGATCTTTAAAAATCCTGTAAAGATCAAATGATGGTTCCTTCTGTCACTTGAGAGTGACAAGTTCAGGATCCAACCAAAGCAGAGCTTTGGTGAATGAAGCTTATTAGCCACTCTGATACCTGCACAGACAAAGCAGCTGTCAGCAGCTTCGCACATTAAGGCAAACAGACAATCTCATCAGATGCATGACACTGAAGTTTAACACCCTGCAATGTACCAAAACATGGCCTGAAGTAGAGAACCACCAGAACACGGACTAAGCTGAAATGTTTTCAGTAAAGTAGATGTCAGTAAGCTCTTACACAGAACCTACCTATCACAAATAGTAGCATCTTAATGAAGATAGTCGAGCAGAAATATCACAGCCGTGACTGACAAATTATGAACTCCTTTTTAAAGAACACTGCTGCAAAACCTACAAGAAGGTTGCTTATCTCAGTTGAGGTGACAAAAAAAAAAAAAAAAAAAAATGAGGTGATGTCAACGCAACTACTTAACTGGATGCAGACATCAAAAAACATTCGTTGGCAATCTCTCTAAGCATTGAGTAAAAGGACATAATTTTATTTTTTTTTTAATATCTGACTTTGAAGCAATCTTGAGAGAAAAGTCAGCCTCACTTCACAGCTAAAAAATATATATAACTTTGTTATCTAGATGTTCCTACAGGGTCATACAGAGATCAGATAAATTCAAATTAAATGCATCCACAAAACTACATTCACTGAATCCTTTTCTGACTTGGGGAGTCCCCAAGCTGCAGATGGCTGGTAGCAAAGCAGTAAGGGCAAAACATCAGTCTTTGTTTGTTCTGCTCTTCCACACTCACTGCTGCTAGAAATGAGGTGACAAGCTAGATGGCCTTAAGTTGTGACCAAGTACTGCTGCTCTTGGGTAACACTGACTACCAACAGTGTAACAGGGTGGGAAAAAAAAAAAAAAAAAAACAGTCCCATCTTAAAAAAAAAAAAGCTCCAGAAATATTTCTCTAAGATTTTGAAGCAGCTTTTCCAAGAGAAGAAAAAGTCAGTTTGATTCCCAGCCCCACATTTCTACAGTTATAAAAAAAATTCCACCCAAGAGCAAACACAAGGTACAAGCTGACCTTTATGTTGGAACCTAGATAAAAATCCATGCAGTTCTTATGCAAGAAAGGGTGAGACTGCCATAATATCCCTTCTGATTTTAACCCCTTAGTCCAGAGAAAGAGCTAGCCAATAATGAGTTTTACATTTAGGTGCTCCTTTTCCAGCTTTGATTACTAAAATATACTTGGATAAATATCTATACACATAAAAATCTTATTTGGCATAAAAAAGTTTTAACCCTCAAAGTGTAGTTCCAATGAGCGTGGATGTCACCCAGCATGGAGCCACATGGAGTCTCGAGGTTTTTAACACATCTGGACAAGGATCTTGAGGCCCCTGTTGAAGGGCCATTGTTGGAATTGAAGTGCAGTCCCATGAGAATTAGGGCACAACATGCTCTCCTCCTGCCCATGTCAAAGAACATGCCCCCATCACTTTTTGCTGGAGCACTGATACTGTATTCTTCCAGGAGCCATTTCACTCAACCTAAATCAAAGAAAGCTGCCATTTTCTGCCATTTTAAGGAATTTCAGTAGTTTATCCTGGTTCAGAGAAGCCAGAGGCAGCAAAAAAGGAGTAGCAGGAGGACCTCACCTTTTGTCCATGGAAAACTATCTAGACTAGTTCAGTTGACAGCATGTAGTTAAATCTTAAGGATAGAGAGTCTCTATATGCTTGAGCCAGTCCAACTGAGCTCGGACCTGTGGTCAAAGAGGAAAACCCAAAGTGGCAGTTGCAGATGCAATCCCTCAGCTCACTGATCTGGCGTGAACAGCAGGAAAGGAGAATAGCACCCCATTTTCAACCAGGCTAGGTGCTGCACAAAAATGAACCCTAGCGTCAACTCAAACACATATGGGCCCAGTGTTTTATCCTGACCTTTGGGGAAATCTCCAGGAGAAAAATTCTGGCTACTTATTCCAGTTATGCTCTTGGATTGGAAGCCATAATATTTTTTTTATTAAAAATCTTCGTATCTGTTATGCTTCTGCACACAGAAGTATTTCCAAAGAATTTGTTGCAGATAAAAGTACTAACTTAATAGGTCACGCAAATTTCTATTCTGAAAGTAATAGCTCCGAAAATAGGAAAGATTGAGATAGTAATTTAAAATACGTTAATGTTATTCTTAACTGATATGGTAAGGGAGGAAGTTTTTCCATTGCAGACTATAGAATTAAGCTACCATATTCCTGTGGTATTCTTGCGTTCTATAATTCTGGTTACTAGGCCTTGATTAAAGAAAACCTTTTTGTTATTCTTGCCAGAACACCATTTCTATTGCTTTAGTACCTGGTCTAAGGATATTACTTTAGAAATCTTACAGAATATAGAAGCCTGTATTAACAGATTGCCCATCCTCCCTCTTCCCCACCCCCCTTGAAATCAAATGCAATGAAGAAAAGTTTAACTTACAACAATTATACTGAAAGGAACAATTATTCCTGCTAACAACTTATAAGAAATGGTGTCCTCTTTGTATGGATAGCGGATGGATTCATCACTACAGAAAACTCCTCTCTGGAAGGGGATACGTCTTGAATTGAGAATTGCAAAAGGCAAGCCAGCTAGCAAAAAGGAATAAAAAACACATTACATAAGCAACACAAACTCTTGTGATGACCATACCCCCGCATTTCCAAACAGAAGTGCGTAAAGAGGAACAAGCATGCAGCACGTTAGGTTAGCACTTCCTTTGGCCAATGACCTTGCCTTTGCAGCTCCCAGGAAGGACTGTTGAATGAAGGCGAGCAGGACAGGATTCCTCTCACCTTCACATTTGTGGCATATCAAGCATAGAAGCATGCCAAAACTATGATCGAGTAAACAGTTTGGTGACAACCACAGAGGTGCTCAATCTGCCGCTACTGCCATAATTATCAACTATTCCTCTATATGCCAGTGAGCAACCCTTGCCCCTTTATACCTCCTCGGGACAGCTTTACCAGTCAGAAGAGCATAAATTGCATTTCTTGAAGGCAGAACAGGAGTGCTTCTCAGGGAGTGCAACTGCAGAGGGAGTTTTCAGGAGGATATGGAAAAAAGGAAAAATCACACATGCACACGATCCCCTCACTTCCACACACACTGGGTTCCCTGGAACAGTGTGGTCACTGCACAAGTCCTGTAACCTCAGGGCATAGAGATTTTATTCCCCTCCACAAGACAGTAAGTCTTTGGCTCATCCTAAACTCAAGAGAACACAAGATTAAGGTGCACAACGCCTTGTGCTATTGTGCCTCAAGGGAACTGCAACACTAACCAAAGCTAGTCTTTTGAACAACAGATTTTTTTTTAAAAAGCTAAAAATCTCAAAATAGGATGCAAATTACTGCAAACTAAACCCGAGTTTAAACCTCAATCCTCCATCCTTGACACACCCACAGCATCTGTACAATCTGCTTTTGTATAGGGATTAATAACCTCAGAAAGAAAGGGCTGTATGGGGAAAAAAGAAGTGGGAGACTACCAAGAACATGCTACAAACAAATAATCTTCTTTAACTTAAGGTTGTAAAGCCCAGTGGCATTAAAGTGCCCCTTGATAAAGTCCTTGATTTTGTGCTCAAAATGCATCAGTATTGCACATAAAATGTGTATCAATTTAGAATTAAGACAACAAAAACTATCTGAGGAGAGACACTCCTGTTCTACCAGTAAGGGATGAGAAGGATGAAAAACAGCCTCCTTCCCTCCTGCCAGAGAAGGATGCTGCTGTAGTCTCAGTTCTTTCTTCAGGTCCTCTGTGTCAAGGTATAACCTACTTCTTCCTTGCCACAGCTGCCCCCAAAACGGTATGTACAAACATAAGTAAACACAGAAAGATCAAGAGAAAAAGGATAAAAAGAAGATACCAACCAAGCAGTAACAAGAACTGTTAGGGAAGAGAACAGAAACACCAAGTTACACAGTCAAGATTTACAAGAATTTAAGGAAAAAAAAAAAATAAAAGTACCTACAGTCCTCTTCAACCCTCTTGCCTCTTTAGCCTCTACCTGTGAAGTCCTCCAAACTATGCTTGATTCCTGGACCCATCACAATTGAGACATACTGTGGTTTCACCCATGATTTCCTATTGATCTTGTTCTTCACACCATAAAGTGACTGCTTAAAAGAATGCTTTGGTTTGAAAACCAACACAGAAGAACAGAAAACAAACTAATGGTTCATAAGGTGAAAAAGTGGCCTCTGATCAATGACACATAGCTGTGCTCCATGACCAAGCAGTTATGGGCTTATTGGTGTCCATCTATTCCAGCTAAGCCTATAATGAAGAACAGAGTATCTTCTGCACTGTCATAAAATCAATATCACGCAAGACTTCCCCCCTGAAAGTGGCAGAAAAAAAACACTGTCATCACCAAGAGGGATTGTTTCCAGTTCTACACCAGCAGGACTACAACTGATCTAGCTCTGGAAGCTGTCCAAGCACACCAACAAAGACAAGTACAGCAAGATGGGCTAAGAGCCAAGCCAGAGACTCACCAAAACACTGAACCATTCAGACACCAGCCAGCAGAGGCCTGGAGCTGGGTTCTGCAGTACAGAGCAAAAACAGCCTGTCCTACCAGGAAAAAAAATACCTCTCCCTTTCTCTCTCCTAATAGTAAGAATGGCAGGGGTTTGAAAAACAGCATACTCCAGACCCCATTTCTGCCCTTCCCTTACGTTGATTTTATGACAGCACGTCAAAATACCATCAGTTGTTTAGTATTTGGCCAACTTGTGCAAAGGAAGAGGCAGAAGCAGTGTGCAGTCACAGTGAGGGAAGGTGACATGTCAACATAATGCCACTGTGTTTTGAACAACATTTACCCTACAAAATGTGTGGAATGAAAAATTTATCCTTTGCCCTGCACACATAACACCAAGAATCAAGACTGAATCTCTGAGAGAAGCATATTTAGATCTCCAGAACTGGAGAATGAGGCATACACAAGCAAGAGTTCCTTCATCACTTACAGGTTTACATCTTTAGATAGTTTTAATTGTCATCGTAAAGCAGTTGCTCACAAAATTAAATTCAGCCTAGAAAAAACCTTTCCACAGCTTCAGCACACTGCCACAAACGCTGGTGATCACAATTAGGTGGTGTCACTGACATCACATCACCAGCTCTGTATCATGCCTTTTTAAAGAGGCCTTTTCTATGAATAATTGTGTCATGGTGGCTTACTCCCCATCTCCTCCTAACCACACCTGAATGTTTTGGCTTCTCAATGTGGTAGATACAATTTTCAGAGTGCTGGGGTTATGCAGGGTTATTTTTGAGGGGCTTTAAGTAATTACCTGCTGCTAAATCAGAAATGGAAAGCACTGTTATGTGGATCACTGGAATAAAGTCTCTCACACAGCAAGGACATGTGCTTTTGCATACAAAATGAAGGTGCTTGCAGTGTGTGCTCATAATCTCAATATTTATGAAGAGTGATGTAATTAGTCTGTAATTGCTTGCAGCACCTTCTGGTATCAAAAATCATACAAACAAAACACCAAGCATCTCTGATTGGTTTTGTTTTGCTTTAAGCCACTTACAATCAGCTAAAATAAGTTATTTAAATGCCTTCTCTTTCATAATTTCTTTCCACCTCTTTTACTTGATCTGAAACCAATCCCACTTTGTTAATCAAGAAAGAAAATTTTATACAGTTTCCTGAAGTCATAACCAGAAAAATTTGGGCACAACAGGACAAGTATTAAACTATCACAACCATCCACCTGCTTTGAAGTAACAATTAATTGGAAAAGCTATTCATTGAAATACAATACTGCTAAAAAATTAGAGTAAACTTTATTAAGTTTTTCTTCAGTTTCTTCCAACTGCATAACAGATTTAAAAAGTAATTTCACCAGTCAACTGTCTTACTGCTGTTCTCAGCACATTTCATTGCTGAAAGGAAATTTATCTCAAGCTTTCACAGAGCACAAGTTTTAATTTCTAAAAACCACACTACAGTAAGATTGATGCAACTGACTTAACACTTGTTAAACCACAATACTACAGTATGTAATTTACCTTCTGCTCAATCAAAGGCAGTTACTAGCTTGAAAAAACATGCTCATACTGGCTTTTGATGTCTTCTTTGGTTAAGGTACTCTCTAGTGTCTATGCCCATTCTCTCAGAACATGCTCTATACAGCAGGTTTAAGACAAATGAATTGCCTTCACTGTTAGCTAGTGGGAGAGCAGAGAAAAGTAAAAGTCAAACCAGAGAGGAAGCAACTCTACTGTTTCTGGCAAGTAAAGTCATTGAGAAAAATTTCTCACAATACTTAGGATTTTTGTTCTGTTTTAAATGAACCAGCAAAGCCTGGTTTTGTGGGATTTTAGGTGTGTGTTTGTTCGTTTGTTTCTTTTTCTTCTTCTTTTCAATTTCTAAAATAAAAATAGAAGTTATTTCAAAAATTTAGCTTAAGTACTTCCTACACTGGAAGCCTCTCTCCCACAAAGAAAAAGCAGACACAGGGAAATATACAGTTTGCTTTTTCTTTAACACAATCAGGACAAACAAGCGGAAGAACTGGCATAAGTGATGAAAGAGGCAAAGCCTCTTACTATAGTAAGTACAATAGTATGGTTTCCCTGTAGTTGTGATACACATTATTTTTTCACTCCAAGAGATACCCTAATTCAAGGAGACAGGAGTAAGATCTTGCATCACAGTAGCAATCTATCTACCAAGTATGAAACCTCTTGTCACAAGTAAACTGGATATGACTGAGGATACTGAATATTTGTCTTCATAATGGTACAATCTTTAACTTCCAAATACTATGGAAGAATAAATTTTATTCACATAGGAAGTGGTGTACTTCCTTACCAGAAGATATATCCAGACAAGTGGAGATGATAAAGGGTGATTAAAGGCTCTCTACTGGATACTTCCCATATGACAATACCAAAAAGCATCCCTGATGTATATTTCATTTTCCAAGTCAATTGTACCACAGTAAAGAATTTGCCTAAAGGGAAGATGACAACAGGTGTGTGAAGAGATGTTACAAGGTTGGGAAGAGGTTACCAGTAGAGTAATCTCAAGGATAGAGCAAACAAGCTAGTGTTACACAGTGCATATGACAGCATTATTAATGAATAACTAGTAGATGTACTGCTGACAGAGCTGGCAATTCTTTGCTGCAGTGGAAGATCAAGGTCAGCCAGTTCTCCCTGCAAAACAACTCTTCAAGACTGAAGCAAAGGAACAGACAGATCTGAGCAGTAATGAGTTCAGAGTCATGCTAACTTGGAGGCTAAACAACTCTGATGAGCTGGGAGTTTGTCAGTGCAAAATATGAGGGGAAAATAATGTCTGGGCCCTTTGGCTGTTGTACCTCAATGTAACAGTTTGAGCACTTGATGAGTCTTCCGAAAGGCATTAACACTTTTAGCCACCTGACAATTTCTTCTTGAACAGCATTCAATCAGAATTTGTGAACATGTTTGGGTTTAACTCATCCATGGTAAACGCAGACAGCCAGAGAGGACTGCTAAGGTACATTCCTTATTATCTCAAAACCTGCAATGAGGTGAGGTCTGCACAGTTGAGCAGAATGTAAGTTCTGTTAAGCAGC